AAGTTTCATTGGAATGTGATTAGAACAAAAAAAAACTATGAATTATTATTAGAGAATTAATATGAACAAATTTCAAATTTAAAATTAATCGGGCCTGTCTATTGTCCTAGAGCATTTATGTACCAAATTTTATTCAAATGTGATGATCAGTAATTGAGATATCAGTGTTAATTAATTATTTAATTAGGTGATTAATAAGCATAAATATTTACCAAAAACTAATTAGGACTCTGCATAGTCCTAGGTTCATTGAAATGTGATGATGAATACTCTTTAAAAGTTTCATTAAAATCCAATTAGTGGTTCTTTCTATATCAGTGGAACATTCATGAAAAAAAATAACTAATTATGCTAATAAGGTGATTAATATGCACAAGTATTTACCCCAAAACTAATCAGGTCTCTGCACAGTCCTCAAGTGACTATGTACCAAGTTTCATTGAAATGTGATGATTACTACTTGAAATATCCAAAAGCTGAAAATTAATTAATTATGCAAATTAGGTAATTAATATGTACTGATATTACCCTAAAAATTATCAGGTCTGTGCAGTGTCCTATGACATCTATGTACCAAGTTTCATTGAAATGTGATGATTCCTACTTGAAATATCAAAAGCTGAAAATTAATTAATCATGCAAATTAGGTAATTAATATGTACTGATATTACACTAAAAACTATCAGGTCTGTGCATTGTCCTATGATACTTACGTACCAAGTTTTATTGAAATGTGATGATTAGTACTTGAGATATCAGTGGAAAAGCCAAAAATTGAATAATCATTATGCAAATTAGGTAATTAATATTGCACAGATTTTTACCCAAAAATAATCAAATCTGTGCATGAGTTCAGAGCATATATTTGTCAAGTTTCATCAAAATCCAATGAGTGGTTCTTTAGATATCAGTGAAGTCATGGAACAGCTAAAAATCAGCTAATTATCATGCAAATTAGGTAATTAATATGCATGGATTTTTACCAAAAACTAGTAATCAAATCTGCGCATCGGCTCAGAGCATCTATGCACCAAGTTTCATCAAAAACCAATGTAGGGTTTTTGAGATAGCAATGGAACAGATGGACACACACATACAGGTGTCCCATGAATTGTGGAGCCACCATTGATATTAACTTTTAATATAGTATGTTTAATTAACTTTTAATATATTTGCGATATGAACTCGATTAATAGCGTTCCTATATAGGGTTGCATTTTAATTGGAGTTTAATTAAACTCAATTACAATGTAATACAATGGAGAATTGCACTTTAATTAAGTTTAATTAAACTACCTAGAGTTGAATATCCTGTGACAGAACATAGAAATGTATCGGGGTAAGGTATGACTTACAATTATATTAATATTAATATAAACTGAACGATACCTTCCCCGATACTAAACCTAAGCTTCGCAAACCTGACTTAAATTCGATTAAATATTAATATAAATTATGAAACATTGTGGAGCCCCATGTTTGGGGCTCCACTTGTACAAAGGGCTCCACTTTGTTTGTGTATGTCTGGACTTCTGGCTCTACTTCTACGTCTACACCAACACATACACATACACACACACATACACACACACTAACTGCAAAGACTCCCATTGTGTGCTTTGCACACGGGAGTCAAAAACTTGATTTTTTGAATTTCCTCAATAGTATTCCATTCTCCCTTATACACATCTACTGTGTACGAAAGGAAATGGGTAAATCTGCTGCTAAATCATCTTAAAAAAATTATTTGTCCCACATCGCATATATAAATAGTTAAATCATGTTTAATATTAAAGAGGTTATTAAACGACAACACCATGATATGATTTTCTTTACCCCCTCCCCTCCATATGAGTGTTCCATTTTCCACCGCCATCGCACCTACTGTTACAAATACCATGGTTTCCATTTTTAAGGGGAACAGTGAACAGGATGACATAAAATAAATTACTGTACAAACAAAGATGGCAACAAAGTGATTTACTGATTCAACAAGATTATTCCAATGAAAGACAATAATTCCAATGAATCAAAGTCAGTATTTAGTGTACATGCATACATCAAGATCAAAATCTAAGCACACATTTTGCGCTTGTCACTGGAATATATATATATATATATTAGCGCACTGGATTGTGGGATAATCAACACAAATCTTCCACATGCATATGTGTAGCGGGAAGACCACAGGCTGGGTGCCCTTTAAACAACTTGAATATTTGCTAGATATGGAATGATCATGTGGAAAAATAAATAAATTGTACATACTTGGAGTGCACACTGGATATGGTGGTTGCCATGATGCGCCTGATTCGTCTTCAACACATGTCAAAGTACTAGTGCTTTGTTCGAATCCTGTACAACAATCAATGTTGATTATGGTGCCATTCGCAGCAGGGAACGATATACCAGAGGTATCAGAAAGATTACCATTAGGAGGATAGCCAGGGAAGCTACAGACGCTTGGTTCTGAAAACATATCATAATCATATTTCATTGAAGTATGTCATTT